ATCCTGGTAATCGCACTTCCAATTCAGAAATGCATTTAATTATTACTAAATTACTACATTCTGGATTAATACGTGAATCTCAATCATCTTATGCAGCTCCCGCCTTATTAATAAAAAAAAAAGATAACACTTGGCGATTAGTTATTGATTACAAAAAGTTAAACGCCATTACCATTAAGGATAATTATCCACTTCCAAACATGGAACTCGCATTACAAACATTAGGTGCCGGTTATCATTTTTTTTCCAAACTCGATTTAAAATCTGGATTTTGGCAATTTCCTATAAATACAAAAGATCGTTTTAAGACCGCATTTATCACGCCTTTTGGATTGTACGAGTGGAACGTTCTTCCTCAAGGTCTTCGTAATGCTCCTCCAAGTTTTCAACGTATTATGAACAAAGTCTTATCGTCTTGCATTGATTTCTCCTTGGTATATTTGGATGACATCGTCATTTTTTCTCGTTCTTATCATGAACATTTAATTCATCTTGAAAAAGTTTTCAATGCCTTAAAATTACATAATTTGACATTAAATTCAATGAAATGTCAAATAGCTCAACAAACAATTGAATATTTAGGCCATGTTATTAGTTCAAAAACAATAACACCTTTACCCGACAAAATCAAATCTATTGTTTTACTTCCTGAACCTACATCTCTCGCACAAGCAAATCGATTTATTGGAGGACTTTCATGGTATAGAAAGTTTATTCCACAATTTGCCAGTATTGCAGCACCTATCCATGCAGTAACTAATCTATCAAAATCACAACGATACAAATTTAAATGGGGCGATGATCAATCTAAATCTTTTAATGATTTAAAAAATGTATTAACTTCCCGGCCATTAATGTTAGATTTTCCTGATGATACACAACCGATCTTATTATCAACTGATGCTTCTAAAGTAGGATTAGGTGGAATTCTTTACCAAGAAATTAATGATGTTAAACGTATTCTATATTATCATTCGGAATTATTATCTCCATCACAAAAACGTTTTCATCCTATTGAACTTGAAGCGCTAGCTATTTTTAAATGTATTACTCGAATGAAATCCTTTTTGCTTGGTCGAGATATTATTATTTTTACTGATAACTGTCCACTTTGTCATATGATGGATAAGAAAATTTCAAACAAACGCGTTGAAAAAATCTCATTATTGCTCCAGGAATTCAATATTACAAAAATTATACATGTACAAGGAAAACATAATTGTCTACCTGATTATCTCTCTCGTCATCCTATCTCATATGAGGATGAATTGCTTGATTCTGAATATGGATTAGGATTTCGACGTGATAAATCCTCTGCTGTTCAATTCATCGGTGCGATGGTAACTCGATCAAAAGCTAGAGCAGCATCAGCTAATGTTTCTTCATCTTCATTACAACAACCGCAATCTTCTCCCGATCTATCTTCGTCTTCTACACCTGTTACTACTTCTTCGTCTTCTACTATTGACCACTTTGACATTACACAATTACAAGAACATCAAAATAATGACATTCAAATTCAAAAAATTGTTAATGATTTAAAACATAATCCACATATTTCATTTGAGTTAAATGATGGAATCTTATATAAATTACAATCTAGTTCTCATGGTAAAGTCAAACGTAAATTAATCTACGTTCCATCTTCCATGATCAAATCATTACTTGTTTCTTATCATGATAATCCTTTTATTGGTGGTCATTTTGCTATTCGTAGAACATTACACAAGCTTCAACAACAATATTGGTGGCCCAATATAAAGCAATCCGTTATTGATCATATAAAATCTTGCATTGTTTGTCAAGCTTATAATACAAGTCGACAAAAACGTCCTGGTTTTCTTCATCCTGTTCGTCCTCCTGATGGTGCTAATGAATTACTAGGAATCGACTTTTGTGGTCCATTTCCTCCAACACCTACTGATAATAAATACGTTTTATGTTTAACCGATTATTATACGAAATTCGTCACGGCTATACCGTTACCAACATGTTCAGCTCAAGTTACAGCCGAAGCTATTTTTAAAGAACATATATGTCGTTTTGGTGTACCTAAAGCAATCATTTCCGATCAAGGTACGAGCTTTAAAAACCAATTGATGTTATCATTTGCGCAGCTACTTGGTTATCATCATATATTTTGTACGCCCTACCACCCCCAATCAAATGGGCAAGTAGAACGTTTCAATAGCACATTCGTCAATCAACTTGCTAAATTAACTGATCAAGAACACAACAACTGGGATGAGTATCTATATCCCATTGTATTTGCATACAACACCGGTGTGCACTCAACAACTAATTTTACTCCATTTGAACTTACATTTGGTCGAGCGGCTAATCTTCCTACCGATCGTCCAACAACATTTACATTTTCTCATCCTCATGATTACTTGGATCAACTTGTTCGCAATTTAAAATATTATCGTACGACAGTTAGACAAAACATTCAACAACAACATGCTCAATCGAAAGCTCGATATGATCGTCGTCGTACTGATCCACAATACGATTTAGGTACCATGGTCCTCACTCGCATATTTACCAGTAGATCAAAATTGGATCCACGATTTTCATTAGATCCAAAAATTATCGTTAATCGCCAACATCCGATCTATTGGGTAAAAGCTATAAATTCTACAACTATATCTCGTATTCACGTTAATGATATACGACCATTATCTACTCGTTCAAATGCTTCATCACATTAATCAAGATATCTTGTGTTTTCAGAACACTTAATACGATGTGATATATATAAAAACATTTTTTTTCTTATTTTGTTAGTTTTTTTTCCTAGTCATGTTGATTTTCTATTTTTTCTTCTTCTTCCACATCATTTTGTTATATCCTTTTGCTCTATAAAAAAAATAAGAAACAACAGGTGTTTCATTGTTTCTTTTTTTTGTGCGACTGGGAAGAGTGTTATGATCTGTGTATGCATACACAGATCATTAGCATCATCTATCTTTCTTTCTCCTATTGTCCTCTACACATTATTATGTATTCTTTATCTCATTGGAGATAATTGAATACGAGCATATCTGTCCCTGTGATTATCATTNGTACAAAAACAAAGGTGATAAGAAAATCTGTGATAATTATCGAGGCATTTCTTTGCTGGTGGTGGCCAGTAAAATATTTACACGAGTGATTCTCAATAGAATTCAACTGCTAATCGACAAGCAACTCTTAGAAGAACAAGCTGGTTTTCGAACAAATAGATCAACAATTGATCAAGTATTTATTCTTAAAATGGTTATGGAAAAGACAAGAGAACTCAACAAGCCGTTACACATGTGTTTCATTGATATACAGAAGACTTATGGTTCAATAAATAGAGATCTTTTATGGAAAATATGTCGACAATATGGCTTGACTGAGAAAACAGTACAAATGTTGAAATTAGTGTACAAAAACACCAGGGCACAAGTAAGAATCAACGGTGAACTGTCCGAAGTGTTTGACATTGAAACCGGTGTAATGCAAGGTGGTATCCCATCTCCTGTATTGTTTAATATTGTATTCGATTTCATTATTAAAAAAGTACTGGAACAATGTAGCGTCGAGGGAGTAACGTTTGCCTATGGAAGCACTGATTTCTATCATGGTGCTAGAGATAAATTCGAAAATTTTGATATTCTGGCTTTAATGTATGCTGATGATTTGGTGGCTTTAACACAAACTCTTGATGATCTAAAACTTTTTATTAAGATCTTTGAAAACGTCACTCAAGCATATGGTTTAACTATGAGTGTTAAGAAGACCTGCGTTATGTCAATACAACAGTTCAAAGAAGGTATCAATGGAAAAATTGTGAAGAACCATGAAGTTGATATCCCTGATATTGAAATTGCTATCAGAAATCAAAAAATTGAAACAGTGGACTCGTTCTCCTATCTAGGTTGTTGGGCCTGTCGTGATCAACGATCAGATAAAGAAGTAGAATCAAGATTAACAAAGTCAGCAACAGCGTTCAACATGTTAAGAAATGTTATTTGGTATAGAAAAACGATATTAATAGAAGCTAAACTTCGAATCTTTAGAGCGTGTGTCCTGCCAGTCCTATTGTTTGGTAGCGAAGTTTGGTCACTGACTGCTGTTCAAGAAAAAAGAATCAGCACTTTCTATATGAAATGTTTAAGAACGATACTTGGTCTGAATCTGGGAGATCGTGTAGCAAATATAACAATAATGCAACTATCTGGCCAGCCTTCAATTGAAAATCTTATGCGACGAAATCGATTAAGATGGGTTGGTCATGCAAATCGTATGGAAAATGAAAATGGGCCACATTTAGTTAAGAAAATTATGTTTTCATATTTCCCTGGTGAAAAACGTCCTACAAATACTGGAATAAGAAAAAGGTGGGAAAACAAGATCATGGATGACATCGAGAAATTCGACATAAAAAATTGGAGGAAAGACACCAAAGATAAAGACAGATGGCGTGAAATAATTAATAGGCATGTCACAATGAATCCTGTTCCTTCAAACATTAAGTCAATTATACAAGAGTTCAAAGATATTTCAAAGAAAAGAAGAGCAGAAGAATT